AAGGTGCTGTTGGTGATGTCGCAAAAATATCAACCATAGCTCATTATTCAGCAGTGGGTAGTAGAACAAAAATCTCAAACAGTATCTTTCTGAATTAAAATGACCATGTAGTGGTCTGTTTGGCAAAGGCACTCCAGTAAGAGATCATCGAAGAGAAGAGCCACCAGGCTGTCTTGACTGCCTCCAAGATCATTTATGGCATATCTGGACCACATCGTCCTTGATTTTCTCATCTGCAAATTGGGACATGGGCATTCACCAGATGTCTGTCAATGAAAAATTGTCAGCGTGGCTAGAGGCCATCTGTCTAGTGCCAGAGGCCATTCAAGAACAGCCATAAAGGGAGTTGGGCACTCTCCAGCTTGCCACAGAGACCAGACTGTTGTATACAATAAAGTCCTTGCTTCTGAACACTGGCATCAATCCAGGCCATGTGGTCGGTCCAATCACCATTTGGTTAGGGGTATGTGATTTCCTTTCCATAGTACCTGGTTGTAAGGTCCAATTATTTGAGGTGTGACTTTACAGGAAATCTCAACCACTAAACCCACCTTTAGATAAGGACCCGCCACACAGCTGTCAGCCATATTTGCCGATGATGGCTGGCAACTTGAGGAGATGAGATGTGGTCCGAATCTAGCTGCCGTTTTGATAAGGGCAGCAGGACCTGTTCTTTTCTTGGGAAAGCAGAAATTGGCAAAGCTTGAAGGGCTCCCTGATATGCATGGATTTGGGGAACAAAAACATAAAAGGAAAATCGATTGAAATAGTCTCTTGATTGGAATCTGATGATGCAGTTAGTGTGGATGAGGATTCTATAATAAGCTATTTGTTGTGATGGTTACTTTGATTGTTGCCACTTGAAAGAAGAAGAAGCCAAAACTAAGGGAGTGTCAACAACTGGACCAGCTCTCCAATCCTTGCAGGGCAGCTAGATGGCAAACCAGGCTGTCTAACTCTGCAGAAGCATTCCCGCAGTCCTCCCTGAAGGAAAACTGTACAGAAGGGTGGCATTACAGTCACTTGCTGGATAAGTGGGCTTAGCCCTCCCAGTATGGAAAGGAATGCAGGAGATTTCTCATAGACAGAAATGGAGTTTAATATTTTATTTGTGGATTTGCCCATTTTTGTCTTGGAGTCCATTGTCCTAGCTGGATTTAAGTAATTTCATGTATTTTAAAATGCAATATCATAATACTTCTCTTAAATAAGCATTGATTCTTAACTATAGAGTCTTAAAACTCTATTGGCCATCTTCCCAGAAACACACACACACACACACACACCCACACACACCACATACATAATGTTTTATATGTGAAATTAATGTACACTTTAAAATTATGCCGACCTATCTACCTCTGCTCCAAGGTCAACAAATCTCTATAAAGATCTGATTTATGACAAATTTTCAGGTGACATAACATTCACAAAATCTAGGGATTATTAAACCTGTTAGGCTGCCAGCTTTTGTAATTGCCAGTCTCCTCATATTTGCATTGGTGACAAATCTTATATTGAATGTCATTAGGATTTTCTGTCTATCTAGCATAAATTTCATGCTTCTGTGATATTGATGATTTGATTTTTATTATATTCCCAAAGTGTGGCTACATGGTATAGTTTATATATTTCTTGTGTTCAATATTTGTCCCTGGAAATTATAGATAAAAATGCTTGGAATGAATATCATACAATAGAACAAATTGTTATTGAAAGGAATTTGTATTTCTCTATTTGCATAATATTACTCTAGATTCTGTCATACCTTTTATCAAGCTGAAGAAGTTTGCCTCCAGTCTTAATTTTCTAAGAATTATTTTTAAAATTATAAGAAGATATTGGATTTATAAAAGTTGCTTTATACATTAAGATAATTTTTATGATTTTTCCCTTATGATTCATCAATGGGGTGAGTTACATTGACAAGCTTTCTAAGAGAAAACTGTCCTTGCATTCCTGACCTAATGCCTACATATTGTGTATGAGCCTCATTCTATCGTGACTTATTATTGTTTCCTAACACAGCATAGAATCATGCAAAATAATATTTAGGATTTTTGAATGTATGTATACGAGTTAAATGTCATATAGTTTTCTTAAATCGACATCATCTAGTTTCAGAATCTAGTTTATATTAGTTTTTTTATTTGAAGACTTCCTGTAAGTCTTTATTTGATTACAACTATGACATTAGATTGTTAGAACTTCTAAAATGCTTAAATTAATTTAGAAATTTCTTTAGTGAACCTAATATTTTCATATTCATTATTGCTACTATACTATTAGTATTTACAATCTTTTATTTTCTGTTTCCTATATTTTAAAAAAGGCGTCCTTTTCTTATTTTCTTTAGAGATGTCCAAATTTATCTGGCTCAAAGGTAAAATATTCTACTTCTGTTTTTATATTAAGAATGAAGGTGGTGGCTTAAGGTTGCACCGAGGCTTGTTTTCTGCTATTGAGTTCTTAAATTTATCTATCATTCTTCAGTTTGAGCATTCCTGATGTGAGAATCTCCAATCCAAAATGTCCACAAATCACAAACTTTTCCAATGTTGCTATAAAACCACAGTTGGAAAATTTCATACCTGAACTCACGTGACATACTGTAGTATAAACACAGGTATCCTAAAAATATTGCCTAAAACTACCTTCAGGATACATATAAGATGTGTATGTTCACAAATAAGCTTGTATTTCATATCAAGACAGTTTGTTATATATCCAGTGTCCCAAAATCTGAAAATAATCTGAAATTTGAAATGCTTTTGGCCCCACACATCTCGAGTAAGGCTAGCTTGCCCTGTGTTTCCCTCTTTGTGCAGTAGAAGCAATATTACAACTAAATGCCTCTTGAGTTCCTTTAGGACCATCCATCATGGCATTGAATACAAAATATAGTTAATATAAATTGTATTTTTGGACCTGTGCAAATGTGACGATATTTTGTGCTGGAGGAATTTCCCGCAGTTGTAAGAAAACTCCTGTAATAAGTTTGATCCAGGTACTCGATGGCCTTTTGTTCTAACATTTCTTGCACTGTCCTCCCAAGCAGCACTTTTCACTTGACTACTTCCTCCAAGAGCAATTTTCATGTGAGCCTTTGTAGGCCCTGAGATATTTTTGTTATGCTACAATATTTGAATGGCAGTTTGGCTTGCTTTAAAGAGACAGGTTCAGTGTTCACTTTAATATTTTACAAATATTTCCTCATTGTCTGAATCTATAATTTTGCTGTGTGGAAGTACACTGCCATAGCAAGTGGTTATTTGTATTACTCTGTGGAGCTCATTATGCTAGGCCCCTAGAGAGACAAATAAGAAAAAAAAACCAACCGCTCCATTTCATGACCTTAGAATAAGACAGATCAACAAAAGGTGAACTACAACGTAAGAGAGGCCTAGCCAGGTCTACGCCTGCCTTAAGAGTCCTAGGCATCTGGAGAACTGCTTCATTTTATAGTCACAGAAACCAAGACGAGGGCAGTTATGTGGCATATTTAAGGGGACACAGCCAGTGAGTGGCAGAGCATTGATGGGAACTCACATCTCCTGGAGCTAAGCCAGGCCTGATGGGTGGAAACTTCTCAGTAGGCCCAAGGCTCTACGACACTGCCACCTGCTACACTAGGCTAGGTTGTGTACAGTCCCCACAGCGGTCGCTTCACCATACTGAGCTCAGAGGTTTTTGAGTGAGGGCTGGTAATTCACCTAGGAGGGAGTCTTCTCTGCTGAACTATTTTAGTATGTGGTCAGTGTTTCTACTCAAGACCAGCTCTCAAGCCTACAACCCATTAGAGGCTGTGATCTATAACTTCATTAGGTGAAGTTTTACGGGGGGTTAGCATGCCATATGTAAAGCCCAAAGGTAAAGCCTCCTTGAGGTGCCTACAGAGTCATTTGACAGTTTACCATCATGCTAACAACAGGCACAGTGCTCTAAGAACAGAGACAGGGGACTGATAATTTCTAGGCCAGGAGTTTCGGGGTGGCACAAAACTCCTTCACCTGCCAAGGCTCTATTTGAGTGGTGCCTTGATGAAAGAAGGGGTGCTCTTCAGATGGGGAGACAGGGAGAGAGGCACGGGTCAGCAGTTTCAAATGAGCATGCATCTGGAGAGAGGAGGGCTCAACTGTGAGTGAGAGGCTTTCTGCGTCTCAGTTCTGTGACTACAGAGAGAAGGCTTCTTCTGGTGGTGCTGGAGGCTGAATGCCAGACCTTACACATGGCAGGCAAGCACTGCTTCACTGAGCTGTAGGCCTTTATTAGGTGGAGGCTTCTTAAGCTGGAGAGTGGCAGGAACAGACCCAGAATGTGTTAGATCACTCTGAGGTACCATGGAAGGCAAAGCTGCAAGGTCTGTGGATGACCCCAGGCCAGGGGTCATAACCATCTGACCTTAACCCCAGGGTAACTGAGTCACTAGACTGGAGTAGATGAGCATGTGGGTTTCAGATACACCGTGGCAGAACATAGCCTCATCCTGTATGCTCTGCAGATGGTGAATCCATTACTCCTCATTTGAGAAGAGTTTTATTACTCATGCTGGGCTTCTGGGAGAGAAGCCCTGTTCCTCCTAAACCAAGTCATTTTGGGGAATCAGCTCTAGCTCCTTTTTAGAAGTCCGAGTGTCTCCCTTTTCTTGTTTGAGCGAATTGGCCCCCTTCTCTGTGGGCCTACCAGCCTTCTGAACCAGTGATCCTGGCATCTAAATAATACTATATCTTGCCATTGTGCTGTGGATTGGGGCGAGGGGAGGAGCCGTTACATTTCAAAGTGGAATAAACAGAAGCAACACCAAAAGGATGGGGAGGTTGTTTAGTGAGGCTTGAAGGGAGGACAGGTGTTTCCTCCCTTGTTGAGAATAGTGACCCCTGGGAATCGCATTTCCCGTTGAGCAGGCACCCATGGTGAGGCGAGTCCTGTAAATGGCCTGACAGTGTGGAACTGTATGTGATGCCCAGAGAAAGCCCATTGTTTTCTAGATCGTCCTTTGGATCCCTACCTGATCACATAAGGAGCTCTGATCCTTGGCCTTATGTTCAACTCTTTGCATTCATCCAGACCCTCACACTCTGTAGCTACACAACCCTCCGTGGCTGTGTATGAATGCCTATGGGTCTCTTGGGCTGCGTGGTATTTAGGCCCAGCTGGCTGGCTCTGCGTGTAAAACACTCCTCAGCCAGTGGGGGCCTTTGGGGGAGCACACAGTGGGGTGACAGGCAGTGTCGCTGAAGAAAAAGCACAGCCCTGCCTGAGGTGGGAGGATGTGATGACGTGGCCCCACTCAGCGGGAACGCAGGCCTTTAAAAAGCTGAAGAAACAGCCTCAGAGTAAACGGTGGCTCCACGGGAGGAAAGCACGCCCAGTCACATTAAAGAAGCCAAACTGTCTGCTTCAAAGAGAAAAGGCAACATCCTGTCACAGGCCATGCTCTGGCAAAAATGTAAGTGGTTTGGTTGCGGCTGTCAGGCAGGGCTCAGCCAGCCATGGGGAGCTGCTGGTGGTGATGGGAGCTCTGGGTCTAGGTTCAGGGCCTAGGGAGCTCCAAGGGCTGAGGTGGGCGGGATGGAGCTTGATGGGAAAACCAGCCTGTCAGAGGTGATGCTCATTTTCCAACTTGGGGCAACGAACTAGTGTCCCAAGGTGGGACAGCTCATAGCATCTCCGGTTCTGTGCATGAATCACTGAGGTGAGGAAGGGCAGTTTATGATTCATGAGACGGAAACCACATATGATATGGGGTTGGAGCAGGTCTTCACGTGAGGGCCTTCACGCTCATGGACACCTGCTCTTCGGCTTGTTGTTTAGTTCTGTGGGTCCATTTCCAGCCGAATTCTGCCAAAGGTGTTTCCCGCCCGTGGGATGGAACCCCAACTGTGTGAAGCACATCTTCGCCGCTGCTCTCCGGCCTCTTTTCACTCTCTTCCTTATTCTGTGGCATGGTTAGTTTTGTGTTCCACCGCAAAGGGCCCGTGGGCTTATCTTTGACCTTGATTTTTATCCCTGGAGTTGAATGGAACAAGTGTGAACTGTATTTTCCGTTCTGTGGATTGAAAAGAATCGTGTGTTATCGATAATGGAAGTCATACAGACATTATCTACACTATTCTTTTCATGAGGTAAACAAAGTCAACTGAACAGTCTCACCAGAGTTGGACCTTAGTAAGGCTCAGTTCTGTACTTCCTCAAGTAAGTTATTATCAAAAAAATTTTCCTATCTTTCTTTGCTAGATGATTAATTCCTTAAAATGCCTTTCATTACTTTAAATATACCATTCCTCAATAAAACATATATGATAATCCAGATGTAAAGAAAAAGACATTTTGGAGGGATATGTAACATATATATATATATAGTATATTATTAAGCCTAAAAATGTCGATTCATTTATTAAATGAATTATTAAATAAATATTACATTTATTAAAATGTAACATAGTCACACTATCATCAACTGTTTTCTTTATTTCTCAATCCTGATTCTCTGGAATTGATTTTGTTATTCATAGGTGACTCAGAGGAGCAATTTAAACCTTTCTCAGTTCACAAAGTCCTATCATTGGTATCAGTGAGATTTCATCTTCAAAAATAAAAAGAAGTGAATTTTAATTTGGATTGGGGAGTTTTAACTACCTTTCCTAGTTTGGGTAGCATGGGACTCATAGCAAAAGGTGACCAGAGCAAAGCCTTGTCCTTCTGGAAGCAAAGTGGCAGCCAGCACCATTGGGAATGCTATGAGGCTGATGGGTCTTAATGTCTTCTGGGGCCCTTCTTGCTTAGTGTTTTGTGTGAGCCACTTTCATTTTTTTAAAACTCTTAGAGTTTGCATATTTAAAATTGGGTAAAAATAATCCCACTGTGTATAGCAGCTCTTAATAATCTGATGGTGCCACCAGAACAATGCCAATTGCTCTGACCTGGCATTAGCTCCTGAGGTATGGGCTGCTCACCAACACTGAAGAAGCTGCCATAGTTTCCCATTGTTGTGACCCACTGTATTTTTCTTCTTCAGTGCCTCTTACAAGATGAGCAGATTTTTTTTTGGGAGTTGTTGGAGGGCTTGCTTCCTGCTCACACCACTGGGGCCAGCCAGGTAGACCAGGATGCATTAAAACAGTGACCACATTTTGAATTCACCACTATCATAACTGAAGTGGGTTTAGACGAGCAAAAGTCAAAATTCCCGTCAACTGTCCTTTGGGACCTTGAAGGGAATGAGGAAAGGTCTTGTGCACCAGACCTATCTCTTTGCCCTGGACCCAAGGTCACCTGAGTGACTAAGACTTATGGGAAACCTAGTAAAATCAAGGCAGTGCCATCAGCCAACTCAGGCACAGGCTGGAGGGCAGGCTGAAATCAGACACAGAAGTGCTGAGAAGGCACTTTCTTTTTTCAGAAACCACCCTTCAGGCACGAGCTGAAATGACTGTACCCAGGGTTAAGGAAGAGTTAAGAAAACAATCACAGTGCACAGGACGCCTCCTCCCTGCTTGGACCAGGAACTCCTGTTAGTGGACTCCTGGTGAACACAGGCTTTGGTTAAGATGGGAGATCAGGGTGACAAAGCTCAGACCTGTTGACATTGAGATGTGGAAGCCTTGAGGTCCCAGCCCCGGGTGTCAGCAGGATAAAGAAGTTGGTTCATCTGCAGACTTCCTCCTTAGGCTCTGCACTGGTCATCAGTATCTCATGCAGATGAGAACTAACATATACCCGACTAGGACAGCATAGTAGACACAACTTGAAACAGCTTGAGCACTGGACTGAGACAGGTCTGGCTCTGACAGTTGACTCTACAACTGAGTACTCTCACCTCTTCTCACTCTTAACATGGGGCTTTGAATGCCGGCCTCGCAAAGTCTTTGTGAGAATTGAAGTAGAGCATGGACCTGCCTCTGACCAATACTGTCTGTGCATACTAGGGGCATCAACTTGGCATTATATTGTATTTTGTATGCAAGCATTTTCCACAAAGTTTGCTCTTCCTTTTCTAAATTAAAAGAAAACAGGTTAATATACAAAGTAATGTGTTTCTTCATGGCATCTTCACACATGTGTGTCATTATACTTTGTTCTCATCTGCTCCCCACCCTCATGCCCCTTCCTTTGCTAAACTTATGTTGACATAATTTTTACAATGATTGCCATTAAAATGTTAAGATAGAGAAAACACTCCATTGTAAAATGTTAATTGTAACAATTAAATTTCACATGAGTTAACATGCCAGCTGTCTGGCAACTTTTAAAACTGTAAGTTTGCTTAAAGTGACAACAACAAAAAAAATCAAGACTGTGGTATAAAAACACATTGTGCCATCACAGCATCCACTAGAGCTCTGTTTTAGAGGCTGAATTTAACAAGGCACTGACTTGCTTAAACACGAAATACTTACTTGTAAAACAATTTGATTCACACATTTTCAAATGGAAGGGGCCAATATTACATGAGTGGAAAATGTGTTTTTTCAGTTCAAGTCCACATTTTAAACTCTTATTCAGATTTCAAGAATCTGAAGATTATTTTGTCTAAATGTAAATTTTTATTGAAATGTTGAACTTAGGAATAAAAAGAATGTAGGCAAAGTGGAACTCGTGTGTTCAATAGCAGCCACAGTGTCAGTTAATGCCTTCTTCCTTCTAAATGTCCCTTAAGCCTATCTGACCCATCAGGCTATGTCAACTCCCTTGCCTCCCATATATCTTTTCCTAACCTTTAAAGAGTTCCAGACAAATATTTTGGGCTATAGAATCTAGCTGCATATTTCAAAGGTCTACAACACAAGAGTGCTAATATGGCCTGTGTGACAAATCGAGCTTATTGTCTACTTTTGTAATAAAGTTTTACTGGAACACAGCTATGTTTCTTGACTGGCATGTTTTGCAGGGCTACTTTTGCTATAGCAGCAGAGCTGTGTAGCTGTAATGTTACTATGCAGGCCTATCTGCTCTTTATAGAAGTTTGCCCCCCTCTCCACTTAGATGCCTGGCTGGTACTTGAGGCATTCATTTCCCCAGGTTACTCAGTTTCTTGGACTCATATAGTGTTAACATCAACGGTAGATAAAGCATGTGATAAATGATAGTTTATTAATGACAACTAATCTAATTGATTAAAAATCTTTAGAAGTGATAGAACATTGTATAATAAACTCACTCTCACTTGTTGAAAAGGGGAAAAAACTGGAAGATTTTTGTCATTGATTTTTGAATTGGGGAAAGATCTGTGTGATAGTGAAAGGCAGGATTAATTGAGTTTTCTTTGCATTGACTAGTTGTCTCAGATCCCATAGACTTGGTCATGTTTTCACTGTAGTAAGTCAAGGGGCACCTTTGGAGCAGGAACTATTATTACCAAATCATTATGCTCATTTGACTTTGTAAGACATCTGGAACAAATTGTACTGGTTTAACAGATAAATTAGGGTCTTACAACTCTCACTGATAGTGAGGTCTTACTTTTAGGATTTACCTTAGGGTTCCACTAATGAGGAACTATATTTTTAAGAGTAGTTAAAGAGACTAATAAGCATTTTGTCACTTTGAAATCTCATGCATAAATCCAGATATATTTATAGCAGGAAGTAATTTAAACTATGAAGACAACCTCTAACTTTTCTATTCTAAGACACAAGCTTTGCTTAATGAGCTCAGTAAAGACCTTCCCTTAGCAAGCTTATGCACTGAGTTCCTACTGCTAGTGACCAGAGGAAGCCAAGGGAGAGATGTAAATACACAGGAGGTTCCTTCTGCAGGCAAAGTGGAGATAGATTGGGGAAGGCATATATCTATCAGGCTGTTGCATTGTCTTTGCTCAGGGAGCTGTGAGCAAATGTCTAATAAGCCCAGACAGAGAACCAGTGACAGACCAAACTCACCATTCCACCGAAGCATAGGTTGGTGAAATTATAAGTTTATATGGCTTATTTACAGAAGCATGGTTGACTTCCAAATATCTGTATCACCCAAAATTCCTACCTTAGCATAGGTAATAACTTCCCTAAATCTTCACAGATGGAACCCCCTTTAGTTGGTCCTTTAATTCCTATAAGTTTAGGCTAGAACCTCTGGAGACAATTCTCACTGAGAAAGAATGACATATGCCTGGAGGGTAGGGGCCAGGAATGAGCGAGTGAGTGAGTGGCCTGAGCAGGTGAGGGTCTAATGACTTTTTCTACCTTTGCTTGTGTGGTAGAATGTGAACAGGTTCCATCTTGCTAAGGTCTTATGAATTCTCACAGATGCTCTTGTTGAAAAGGGGACAGCTATGCTAATACCCAGAAAACAGTGTTCTGCAACACAGGAATACAGTTCAATTGGTAAAAGAGCAAATGATTTTCATGGTGAACATTTCCCTTGTTTTCTTATATTTACTAAAGAAAGGTGTCAAATATGTATGCCTAATCTCAATGTTTACCACTTCAGAAATATTGGAAATGTCTTTCA